CGTCCTCTTTCGTTTCATAACAAGCTTGCATGATTCTTTGTCCATGAAGTGAGGTAGAAATCCATTCTTCTTCAGGTCATACCCGAGTTTCTTCTCCTGAATCGTCAATTGATCTCTGATTGACTTGAAACTTGCGCCTATGCTTCACTTTATGTTCTAGGACCTGAAATGGGACAAAGGAACACAACCTAGCATAAAATAGGCCAATTCAAGCTCAAACAATCAAGAAACAAAGGGGAAAACATGTGCAAATACCGAGTCATCAAATCCCCCCACACTTAACTGTTTGCTTGTCCCCAAGCAAACCTAACTCAAACCAATGCAACTCTCCAGACCTCTATAGCAACAAACACCCCAGATCGTAGGTAGAGGACTTCCTAGATCATTTAGCAACTTACGAGGTCAACCGACACACAAGTCATCTCATAGCTTCTTCGGCGAGAGCACTAGTATCGAGTTGGCATCATGGCAAATAGTGAACAGAGGACAAATGAATTGTGGATGAAGAGATTCTCAAAAACAAAAGATCATGGACTCACATTTTTCAAGGTGCTCTATTTTCTTCTTGAAGATGGTTGGAACCCCTTTTCTTTTCTGTTTTGCTTGTTTTCTGTTATTTTTTTATTTATTTCAAGGGTCCCAACCTGCTCTTACCGGCCATGCCAGGAGCGGATGTCTCGAGCCTCGTGCGGGGGAAAGGCATGTAAGGGGGTTGGAGGTAGTAGGTGGAAATTGGGAACGAATTCCCGTCTCCCCTTACACACTTTCGCCCTATTCGCACGGGAGACGTTATTTTGAAGCACATTTTCGAGCACCTGTTAAACTCAAAACATGATACAAGAGTCCATGACAGGTAGAGAATCCACAACACCACACAATTCAAGGGTCCTAAGATCACTAATTCACTCAATCAACCAACACAATATGAAGAAGCAATGAGACTTCTTAAATGCATCAACATCCTCCATAGTGCTACACTACCTCCCTAGGTTGCATATTACTATAAAGACTGTCAATTCAAAGCATACTGAGCAGGCAATTGCAAGGAAACACGTACTTGGAGCCCTCAAATCGAAATTTGGACAGTGGACTAGGCTCCAAGCACACAAACAGCCAAACATTCACCCGCATACATAATCGAACACCCCCTACACTTAAGCACGACATTGTCCTCAATGTAGGAAAGATAAGGAGGGTAGAACGAAGTTACCAGATCAAGGGTGAATGATGATGTACGGGTCAGGCGGTGCATTCCAGGAAGAGAGAGTGATCAGAACACAAACACCACACAAAATCTCACAAAGGTTGAGTTATTGACTCTAAAATCAAATAACAAAACTGACTCAACCGAGGAGAAATAGAGAAAGAAATGCAAACCGACTGGTTGGGTTGCCTCCCAACAAGCGCTTCTTTCACGTCGTGAGCCGGACGATGGCTCCTAAGTTTCGGTCCATGCTAGAACCTCCTTGAAGTTGAGGTTCTCATCTATGAGGTGGAGTCTCAAGTCACGAGCAGGTGGTGTGGCAGATGATGAAGGCTCGTGCACTTGATGCAGATGAAGTCTCCACCCTCGAGACCTCTTCTTCTCTTCTCTCGTCTCATTGCCCCAAACCAGATAAGACATCATCGATTGGCCACCATCGCGTCCACCAAGAGGGACCGATGTCGATGTGGCCTTGGTCTGGCAAAGAGACACTGCAAATGGGTCCTTGCCAAGAAGCTCCTCGAAGTTTGGTGGAGATATCACATGTAACTCATGGCCGGTGCAGGCCTCTTCCACCTTAACTCCGTCCTCAGCCTGGACGCCAATTGCCTCCACAACCCCCCTTCCTTCTTCAAAATGTGGTCTCTCCCCTTGGAAAAGATCAAGAACTACCTCTTCTTTACTTTCTTCTTCATCCTCCACAACTTCCTTCCTCACCCTTTCTTGCTCTTCTTCTTCTAGCACGGATTGGAGAGCAAGTTGCCAAGCAATTTCTTTCATGAGATCTTCTTGCATCTCCTCACTCATGCCCGCCTCTTCAAAGCTCGGTGTGGGATGTGGGAAGGTGTGGTCGGCTATGATAGGACATTCCTGATCATGATCATCACGAGAGCTCTCCGTGACAGCTTCAGTGTGCTCCACAATGTCCTTGTAGCCTTCTTCTTCCTCCTCCTCTTCTAGTATTGTAGCAGAAGGGTGATCTGGAGCAGGTTGTGCACAAGATCGCTCAAGATCATCGACGCTCTTTTTAAGGCTCAGGAGGATCTCCTCTGTTTCACGATAGGTCTGAACACAATGATCCATCCTGGAGCATGATCTCTCAGAATCTCGAGCAAACTGCTCCATGAGAAGCCTCAATTCATAGTTTGGATCTGGATGTGGAAGAAATTCTTCTTGGTAATAAGGTTGTTCTTGATATGCCCAGGGGTCCAGTTGTTCTCCGTAGTAAGGGGGTTGGTACTGGAACCCGAATCCATAGTCTTCTCCTCCTTGATTGCTCCAGGGGGTCTCGGGGTAATACCACTCAGATGGTGGTGGATACCCCCAATGATTGGAGAAGCCATGAGGATCCATGATTCAGATCTGCACCAACAAAAACAAAAACACCCAAGTGAAAAGCAAGGGTAGAAAACAAAAGAAAACGCTAAAGTAACAAACTTCTGCCTTTCCTAATAATCTAGAAAGTTCCCCGGCAACGGCGCCAAAAACTTGACTCGCTACGACACAACACCTAACAATGGCCAAGTGTAACCAATGAAAGGGACTGCAGTATAGTGGCACAAGTAATAAATATCGAATCCACGGGTCTCTAGAGTTACTATTACTCAGCTTCAGTTCATTATCTAGCAAACTAGATTAAGGATTGATTTATAAACTACTCTACTGACTACTCTACTAATTACAAGTTGGGAACTCACTTAGGTATGATTCCCCCTAGCT